CAACTCTACTGGGATCATTTGCTATATTACTAGCAAATAAGATCACCCTTGTGTGATCCTTCATATTCAAGGTTTAGTATCCTCTTTCTTGGATACGTTGAAATCTCCTCTCTTAGGATCCTCTTCGGACTCCTACTCTTCGCTTGTCTTTTTTTTTTTTGAGATCAACTGAAGTCATGTTGGCCCCGATATGCGGTGACCTAACACATACACCTAAATCATTCATTGGCTTATACTTCTAAAAGTAATGCCAACCCGGAACTAAACCTTCGATCTCAAGTTCTGCCTTCTGACAAAGAAATCGATAACATACTCCTTTACTTCTTTGGGTCTTTATCACTTTTGCCTTGGACCCCATCATCTTCCTAGTGCCAACCATCCAGTGATTACAAAATATAATTGACATCAACTCCTACTAACGAACCATAAAAAGAGAACAACGAATCCTATTATGGGCTCTAAGTTTTAAGAGACGCAACGCGGAAGTCATATAACAAAAGACACTCCTAATGACACTTGAACCCGGAGTACTCTGATACCAACTGTGATACCCCCGGATTTCCAGATGCGGGTTGACCAGGCCCACGCCCGAATACCCGAGGATATAAAAAACAAATGGCAATAATCGAACACAGAATACAAATATGATAAATATGAATAAATAAAATTGCTGAAAGAAAACTAAACGATAATCCATTAATGAAAACCTTAGAATAAATTTTTATAAATAAGAAAATATTCTGGTACATCTAATCCTCCATTACCAATACAACTCGGGAATCTATATTATGTGGACCCCTTAAAATCCTAACTAAACAAGTGATTACATCAGAACCTTGAAACATAAAGAAAACTTCTATGTAAATTATCCGGAAGAGTGAAGTAGATGATCCTTGCTTAGCACAAATAATCCCTACTCTTGGCGAATACTTGAAAAATAATGGTGGATCAGGCCTACAAACAAGTTCTACTCTACCATAGTCCAAGCAGAGACCCGATACACAGATACATCCTAAATAACCTTAACAATAGCTATATAGTCCATAACTATATATATATATATATATATATATATATATATATATATCTACACTAAAGGACTCTCACTGGACTATAAAAGGGGTCTCAACCTGAATAGAAGGTAACATGCAAAACGCACTTGAAGTAGGCATGAATACCTAAGCCTAACAGGGTATACCTCAACCTATCATAGCAAGTTATGCATCCTACTGCATATATGCTCCCTAACCATCGACTCTGAGACTCAAGCTCATATCGCGGTACCATAATAATATATATAAATTCCATCCAAAACCAATGTAGTGCCGCTCAACTGTTTATTGCCAAGACACGACATTTAATTAGGATTTAAATGTTATAATTAAATCCATTTCCTTAATCCAGAATAGGTAAGAGTTAACGTTTTGATCTAATCTATACCTAATATGCTACCATCCCATACCGGTGCATATAATCCATATAATTGATAGAACAGGTAAAACAATTCAACAATTAAAATCTAGAATAGGTAGGAGTTAGCGTTTTGATATAATCTGTACCTAATATGCCACCGTCCCATACCGGTGCATATAAACCACAAAAATCCATATAATTGATAGGAACAGAATTAAACAGTTCATCAATTATAGTCAAGAACAAGCATAATAAAAATTTGATATGTATATAATCATATTATGTATCCATTACAAGATTAAAAAAAAATCATGTCACAGTCCTTTAAATTGCTAAACTAATATTAAACAATTAAATCCTTTATATCTATTAACAACATGCTAATTTGTTTAAAATTTCATATTATTCTAATCAATAGCGTATTATGCATCCAATTTAAAATCAGATTATAATCACAATCATTAGATTGCTAAAATAATATTTAAGCAATTAAATTCTCCTCATCTGATAACAATATGTAAACTTGTTTAAAATTTCATATTGTTTCAATCACTAACATATAGATTGAACTATGCATTATGGGGTTTTAATATACCATTAAACATTATTTAGAACCCTCATTATTAACCCGGAACAGTAAGGAAAACCCAAATCATCCAAACAGTGCCCAAACCACCTCCAGTATGCATCAAAACAAGGGAGCCTACTCACAGAAATTGAGAGCAGGCTTGATCCACACATGGAGCCGGCTCCCTAGACCTTGGAGCCGGCTCTATACAAGAGGGAACCGGCTTCCCATCACCTGGAGCCGGCTCTTCACAAGAGGTAGCCGGCTTCCACTTCCATAGAGCCGACTCTCTCCCCCTCTGAGAGCCCTAACCCAAATTCCACCTGTTCTACTCCTTCGTCCCCATCTCTGGCAATCTATATATATATATATATATATATATATATATAATAAATATTTATATAAGTCGGCTATCCCACGTGATTTCATAAAAGTAAATAAAATCCTAAAACTATATTATACATATATAATGAAGAATAATATTAATTTAATCATTAATAATAATTAATAATTAAACTAACCCCAAATACATATATACCCATATATATATGTATAACCATCTATGGGTATTAACTGTACTCCTTCAACCTCCCATCCAAGTAGTCCATGTGACCCAAACGGTTGGTCCATTTCTACGGTCCAAAGCCAACTTCTTTTTAAAATTAAAATTAAACAATTAATCATTTCAACTAACAAATAGGTTACAAGAAAATCGACACAATTAAATCACATATTTCAAATAAACAACTTATCAAACAAACATATAGCCACATAAACACATAACCACAAAATCAATTAAAAATGCACAAGAAATCAAAATTAAATTCCAATTATATCATTTTGAAAACTAGGGGTATTATAGGTTGGCTTGGCCCACGCCCGAATACCCGAGGATATAAAAAACAAAACGGTAATAATCGAACATAGAGTACATAAAGAATAACATAGGAATACATAATTTGTTGAAAGAAAACTAAAATAATAATCCAATAACTAAATCTCAGAATAAATTTTCATTAATAATAAAATCATTCTGATACAATAAATCTTTCATTAATATAACTCGGGAATCCATACTGTGTGGATCCCTAGAAAATCTAAACTGAACAAGTGACATCAACAACTATCTATAACTGGAAAGTGAAGTATAAAAGAATCTCCTAAGTAGAATCAGAAGAATGAAGTAGACTGATCCCTGTTCAGCACAAACCTCTACTCCTGACGAACACCTGAAAAATAATGGTGGGTCAGACCCACAAATAAGTTCTACTCTACTACAGACGAAGCAGAGATCCGATACACGTATACATCATAGTCAATCCAACAATAGCTAGTAATCCATATACATATATAGATACACACTATAGGACACTCACTTGACTATAGGTCTCTCTCAACCTGAATAGAAGACAACATGCAAATCGCACATAAAGTGGGCATGAATTCCTAGACTTACCAGGGAACCCAGATGTCTACTATATCCAGTTATCCATCCTAAGCATTATACGCACCCTAACCATGATCCTGAGACTCAAGCTCATATCATGTCAACATAATCATATATATATATAATCCAATAACCATCCTATCCAGTATAAAGTAATCCTCTAAAATTAATCCTCTATAAGTAATTCTCTATAAGTCATTCAACTTGTTCAGCTGACCTGAATTGAATATAAGGAGGACTTAACATTTTACTTAATCCATTACCTTATATGAAAATAGGTAGGATTTAACTTCTTTGGTTAATCCGTCTCTAGAATGCCACCGTCCCATACCGGTGCATTAAACTACACAATCCAATATATGATGTAATAGATAAAGCAATATATCAAATAATCCAAAATAATATGAAAAAGACCACATATATCATCCTTGCGTATACTTAAGCAAAATAACAACTCTAAGTAGAATGCATTTAATATAACAAATTAACACGCATCTCAAATAGATTGTCTTAACCTCCAGGATGTAATTAAACTATTTAAATTCAATTAATTGATTAAATTAGTTTAATACCAATATTCATCCATTTAAATTGTTAAATAATAGTAAGCAATTAAATCATCTATAAAATCCAATAATTGATGAAATAAATAAAATAAGACATCAATTAATCCAGAAACAAACATAATAAAAATCAGATAATTAATTGAGTATATAATGCTGCTAATACATGATTAAAGTCATACAACATCCATTTACATTGCTAAAATAATATTAAGCAATTAAATCCACCTTAACCATTAACAACATGCAAATTTAATTAAAATTTCATATTGTTCTAACTTTAGCATATTTGTATAATTTATGCATTCGGGTATTTAACATGTCCATCATAGCCATTTAAATCATCCAAATTGACCTACACTGCACTAGAATACCCCAGACTACAACAGTTTTGGTTTTTACCAGCGCTCAAAAGCGCTGATAATTCAATTACCAGCGCTTCTTCAAAAGCGCTGGTAAATCCAGTGTCGGTAGGCCTTTACTAGCGCTTTTGGAGAAGCACTGGTAGCCCTGGCATAGGGAATAAAAATATATTGAAAAAAAAAATTCAAATAACCCTTTATCAGCGCTTTTCCAAAAAGCGTTGGCATAGGAAAAAAAAAATATTAAAAAAAAAAAATTCAAATAACCCTCTACCAGCGCTTTTGGAGAAGCGCTTGTAGCCTCTACCAGCGCTTCTGGTAAAGGATTATTTGAAATTTTTTTTTTTAATATTTTTTTTCCCTATGCCAGCGCTTTTTGGAAAAGCGCTGATAAAGGGTTATTTGAATTTTTTTTTTTAATATATTTTTATTCCTTATGCCAGCAGCGCTTCTTAAAAGAGTGTTGGTAAAATTATTTACATTTTTTTTTTTCCCATTATTGTTTTCCTTATTTAAATTTTTTTTTTCCCATTATTGTTTTTGAAAAAAAATTTCTTCACAGCTACTAAATGCATCCCAACACAAGTCAATATAAAAATACCATCCAAATTTTTTTTACAAACAACCACAAGTTAACCCTGCCAATATGAAAAATACCATCGAAATTGACTACTAATACCACCACAAGTTAACCTGCGAATATGAAAATACCATCCAAATTATCTAGATAAAGGTACTAAATGTCACACAAAAAGAATTAAGAATTTTTAACAAATGTAGTACAAGTTTTTCAAAAAGAACCCATCCAAGGCGAAGGAAATTCAAAAAGCATAGCCACGACCCTATCTTCAACTTCAACTTCAACAAGTCTTCTTGCCTATTTGATTTGAATTACCCTATATTTTTTATAAATTCATTAAGCGCACATTATAATAAATGAAAATTTAACATATATATACGTGAAATTAAAAGTTCATAACCTTAACTGAATTGGCATCACGACTAGAAAATGAATTTGGGAATACTCTGGGAGGAGCATTTAAAGAATCAGAATCCTTCAAAATAACAAAACAAAATACATGAAATCTTGGCATAAGTAAACATATATTTAGTAAAGAGTAAAATTAATAATAAATATACTTGTCCACTACAATTTTGTTGTTGCATCTGCATTAGCATAGTCACCTGTTGTTGTAAATTTTCCAACTTGTCGTCGTAGTTGGCTCGTAAATTTTCCAACTTGTTGTCATAGACGGCTTGCATTTTTGAAATCGTCTCCTGCAACTCTTGAGATTTTTTAGCATATTAATCAGTTCAGCTTTACTAGGAGAGGGCCCCTAAACATCGCTTGGTGTAGGCCCGAAGCCAAGCATCTGCACACAACCAGTTCTCTCTTCTCCCCTCACAATGGAGAACAAATCATTGGAGCTGCCAATAGACGAGTCAGAGTAACTTTTTTGAAGTTCTCTTATGTTTTCCTGCCAAAAAAAAAAAAAAAAAGTTGAACTACCACGACATACTACTATGAAACATCCAGAACTGAAAACCCTAGATTCTAAATAAAGCACAAAAGAACTGAAATCCCAACAAGCTATGAACATGTAATGCTTAAATATACATGTGCATGTATAATATATATATATATATATATATATATATATATATATATTATACATGCACATGTATATTTAAGCATTACATGTTCATATATATACCTAAGTTTTCATGACAAAAACAAAATGATTTAAATGAAGTAAATAGAGAAAAAAAAAAATCAAATTTTTATCAAATTAGTAGTTCTTTTAATACATTGTGCTAAAGTATACACTTAATAAAAAATGTAATCTAGTCGTTATAGAAGAGGAAAAATCAAATTAATAGTCTTTTGAGGTACCAGACATTGTGCTAAAGTATACAATATGATTAAAGAAATTGCCAACTTATGAGTACTGTTGTTTATGTCTAAATTTGAATGTCCCATCTAATTGAAGAATCTTATATAGGTAATTGGACAAAAGACTTGGTGTGCAATTATTATTATAGGACACATAATTCTATGTCTTTTATTTAATTAGATTCACTAGGCAAAAGTTTTTGCACCTAATATTATATTTTACTTTTTCCCTAGGTTATCATTTGTAGTTTCCTAAGCATTTTCTGTCCTCAAATGGGTAAAAATGTAGAAACCAAACGTGCTTCCTGATTCAGTAGAAAATAATTAGTATAAGATATCTATAATGCAATAGAAGAAAAAGCAAGTAAAATTGTTAGCAGAATAATTTCTCTGGATGCATTTATTCTTCCAAACACTCACTATCCATAGAAAGAAGGAAAAAAAGGTGAAGGGTGAAATTGAATTTGAGTAATTTACTAAGGAGATGCGAAACCTCTTCTGTAATTGTGTTTCTTTCTGCCTTTAAGTTTGGTATACTTTGATGTAAATCAGCATAATTTCTCAGTGATCATGATTCGTGTGTGTGTGTGTGTGTGTGTGAGAACTACTAATTTGATTTTCATGCCAAGCTTTTTGAAGATGGAAATCTTTTCAGAACTGAAAAAAAAAAAAGAAAAAGAATCTGAATTGGATTAGAAATCTGCAGAGATTGAATCCGAAACAATTTTTACCAACATGCCAAGTTTTTTGAAGATGGAAATCTTTTCAGAACTGAAAAAAACAAAAAAAAGAATCTGAATTGGATTAGAAATCTGCAGAGATTGAATCGGAAACAATTTTTATCAACATGCCAGGCTTTTTGAAGATGGAAATCTTTTCAGAACTGAAAAAAAAAAAAGAATCTGAATTGGATTAGAAATCTGCAGAGATTGAATCTGAAACAATTTTTATCAACATGCCAAGCTTTTTGAAGATGGAAATCTTTTCAGAACTGAAAAAAAAAAGAATCTGAATTGGATTAGAAATCTACAGAGATTGAATCTGAAACAAATTTTACCAACATGCCAAGCTTTTTGAAGATGGAAATCTTTTCAGAACTGAAAAAAAAAAAAAGAAGAATCTGAATTGGATTAGAAATCTGCAGAGATTGAATCTGAAACAATTTTTATCAACGTGCCAAGCTTTTTGAAGATGGAAATCTTTTCAGAACTGAAAAAAAAAAAAAAAAGAATTTGAATTGGATTAGAAATCTGCAGAGATTGAATCTGAAACAATTTTTACCAACATGCCAAGTTTTTTGAAGATGGAAATCTTTTCAGAACTGAAAAAAAAAAAAAGAATCTGAATTGGATTAGAAATCTGCAGAGATGAATCTGAAACAATTTTTATCAACATGCCAAGCTTTTTGAAGATGGAAATCTTTTCAGAACTGAAAGAAAAAAAAGAATCTGAATTGGATTAGAAATCTGCAGAGATTGAATCTGAAACAATTTTTACCAACATGCCAAGTTTTTTGAAGATGGAAATCTTTTCAGAACTGAAAAAAAAAAAAAAAAAAAAAAATCTGAATTGGATTAGAAATCTGCAGAGATTGTATCTGAAACAATTTTTATCAACATGCAAAACTTTTTGAAGATGGAAATCTTTTCAGCACTGAAAAAAAAAAAAAAAAAAAAGAATCTGAATTGGATTAGAAATCTACATAGATTGAATCTGAATCAATTTTTATCAACATGCCAAGCTTTTTGAAGATGGAAATCTTTTCAGAACTAAAAAAAAAAAATCACAACAAGAACTTTATAGATCATGAACAAGTGTTTAGTGGCCTTTACATAGCTTGTATATAATAGTTGAAGTTGTCTATATTCAAAAGACTATTGCCACAATATATGAGTAACAAATTAACACGAACAACAAACAACAAATAGCAAATACTTCTTCTCCACAACACAAATCAATCAACAAGAGGCCTCCACATACAATGATCCCATGATCCCATGCTTTTCAACAAATACAAGAAAGTAAATTGCCTCCACACGGGCCAATGATTTAAAAATTGGTCACTTCAAGGCATGTGACCCCCTAATACAGCATAAAGAGTTTAAAAATTGGTCACTTCAAGGCACATGACCCCCTTTTTGCAAAATGAAAGCATGAAAACTTACAATTATCTCCGAAGCAGCAGCATCAGTAGCTTTGCCATCCTTATTTACATGTGTGCGGATGAATAAATCTGCACGAAAAGCTAAATACCTTCGTCTTCCTCAATCTATAAAAGAATACATTGTGATATATATTATTTACCACTAACATTTATAATCATTCAACGACATAAGAATTGAAATAATTTATATTTTCGATAAAAACTTCAACTAACCTCGGCAGAAACACGTGCAAAGCTTTTTGTCCCTATAGTATGCATCATTGTCTGCTTCCCACGACGTTCTTTATTTTTTTTGCTAACCTCCTACAAAAAGTGAGAAAAAGTAAAAATTCTTTGAGTAAAGAACATTCCACCTAAAATAATGACTGAAAGCAGGTAAACTATAAATTTAACTCATTGACTTCAAAAAACATTGTGATAGATGGAGGATTACCTTCGCCATAGACGTACCCCAATGCCTAACCAAAAATTCCCAATGCTCCTTTTCAACATTAGGTGGTGGGTTTGTCAATCTTTCTTCATCTGTATCCCTAACTGAGTAGTATTCATTTTTCAACTCACACTTGTACCCCCTCCATTTTTTTCCGATGGAGGATATTGTCCTCTGTTTTGTCATGATTCCCACATCATATTTTCCCTGAAAATGTGATAATTGTTGTATGTTAGTCCACTTTTTTCATAAAAATTATTTTAATGTTATTGAAGGGTTTTACCTTTACAATGTTCCACATATCCTCTTCAGCCGTTTAGGCATCTCCCACCAAGTTTTGTAACACAAAGGAGCTAATTCACCCTTCCGGGCAAGTGTTCCCAGATAATTAGTATATATACCACTCCCAGGACCGATCGGCTGTCCAAACTTATTAACCCTAAACAAAAATTAACAATTGTAGATGTTTACTACAAAAATAAAGATAGAAATCCTATTTTTCTCCTTCATATTGAATATAGTCTAATTATGTAAACTATATAAGATGATCTATATATATATGTACCTTAAAGGCAATAAGGTTTTCGCGTCTATGACATTCTTGCATCGTGTCGGACCCCGTCTCTTCTTCGGCGGTGGTTGGGATGATTTTGAAGTTGAAGCTTCGGTATTTTTGTTCACTCACTTTTTCCACTTCACTAACCATTCGTTTCATTGTCAACTTATTATTTATCCTTCCTAGAAAAGCAAACAAAAAAGTGAGAATTCAGTTAAGAGAATGCAATCAAATTGTTAAAAAAAGACAATATAATTGTAATTCAACACAACATCTAAACATCAGCACGGGCAATTTAATAACTATGACACAGTGGTAATTATTGACTCTTGTTCCAGGTCAAAGTATTAAGTTGGATCCAATGCAACCGATTACAAGCCAATCTGTAATGCCATCGAGAATCGATGAATAAAATAGCTAATGGACGATAGATATATAGTTGAGCAAGATCAACAATTCAGTGGATTGTCCCTCATTGGACTAAGTCTCTGGTTTTTCCCTGTTTATGGTCTTTCACATGAAAATATTGCGTCCATACTATATTTTATGCATGAATATTGCGGTTGTGTTGAAAGAATTCAAAACCTAACGGATATAAACAAAAATCCAAATCACAGTAATCATAACTAACTAGCTAAATTTTAAAGAGTTTAATTGTAATTCAAAAAGTTACTTTGTTACAAATTAATATCCATAAGACCTATTCATTCTCTTTCTAGGTCTAATTTACCAATATGCTTTGACGCATCAGAGTCTTGGGCAACAATCTCACGTACTAACAACTTTCTTTTTCCTTTTCACTTTCCGTTAATGTCAACATGCTCAGCACATGCATCCTTTGTAAAACAGCATCCCTGTATGTTTCATCATTTTACATATCATCACAAAACTGACTGCATCGACATAGAGCCAAAAATGGCTCTTTTCTTCAATCTTTTCACAAAAAAAAAATTTTACCACAACAAAATGAAAAGGACTATTACAAATTATATGACTAAGTGTGGAGGATATCACTCGCCAATTGTAGAACATAATTATATGTGACGACCTTTCTTAGTTCAACAAAGCATCACAACACAGAAAGCATTTATTTCTGGTGTGGTCATAGTAATTCTATACAAAGTAAATCATTTTAAAAATTCAGAATTTCCTTTTTATAGCAAATTAATCTCAACTAAGAGTTACAACAAATTATAAAATAATCAAGGAATACAGTACTTAAGACACAGTAACAGTAATATAGAATAAAATCCATCAACAGTAGCTCGTACACCAGATTAGTTATATAAAGAAAAGTTCAAAGCAGAACAAACAGACCAACCAGACTTATGGCACGCCATACATTGACGATCTAACAGCAGAAACATGAAGCAACGGACCTCTCAAGTCTCAACGTAGAAAGAGTAGCTTGCATGAGGATAAAACTTCAACTGAAGCAATTATTTACAACCAGGAAACTTAAATAAAAGATGTTATGCGAGTATGCGTAAGGCAACCATGACAACCATATGAGAGAACCACCATCCAGTTAACAACTACAAGACCGTAAAACATTCTATCCTACTATGCAGCCAGCCACTTAATACACTATATTGGTACAACCATCACATGTAATACTCTACTCGCAGTATGTGGATTCCCAATGGAACATGGTTCTTTACCCATCTCTTTAAACTCAAAACCCTTTTCCTCATCAATTCTCTATTGCTTCCATCCAACCAAAATGTAGAATAGCCGAATACAATGATATTTACCCAGCCACATACAACACAAAAATCCAGCTCAAGGCATTATTTCTGAATGTAAAAAAGTGAACAAAAGACGCTTGGTAAAACTCCCACAAATTGGAGCTGGCCATTCACACCCAACCAAATACAGAAGTCCCACCAATGGTACACAATTTAACACATAAAAAGCATAAACACATGGCACTCACTAAGAGTTACAACAAATTATAAAATAATCAAGGAATACAGTACTTAAGAAAAAAATTGCATGTATATATATGGAGGCGAATAACAAATAGATATGAATAAATTTTGAACCTTTTTTGAATTCAGCGGTTGAAATCAAAGATCCAAATCCTCCAACCTCGACCTGGATTTTGATTGATAATTTTATTGACGAAACTAAGAACAATAATTTTCCCGGCAACACAAAACAACTAAAATCTGGAAACCCAATTTGTAAAAGCTACGAAAATAGATTGATCTACCTGAAATGTGAAACGATCGCAATCGAGGCTTTGAAGTCAATGGATATAATAGACTGAAAAAATATTTCAATCAGAACCATAATAAGAATCATAAACTAAAAATCAGAAAAACATAAAGATTATTTTAGTTATGGAGATTTCCCTAAATATATATATATATATATATATATATATATAATATTGACAAAGAGAAAGCTTTAAGAGAAAGGGGGTACTTACCACCAAGAGAGAGAGGATGAGTAGGATTCGTGAGGGGAAGAGAGAGAATCTGAAATTGAAGTACTCTGAAACGCAGGTGGAAGAAGTGCTTCAGCTGAGAAATGGTGGTGGAGAGAGAGGGATGAGAGAGAGAGAGCCTACGATGAGCTAAAGTAATGGAGATCGAGCAGTGAGAGATTGAGACGGAGCAAATCGAGATAGAGCGGAGGGAAAAAGTGGAGGGAAGAGAAAAATTGGAGGGAAGGAGAAAAAATTGGAGGGAATGGAAGGGTCCTGTACCAGCGTTTTTTCTTAAACCGTTGCTACTGTAACACCATTACCAACGCTTTGTAAGCGTTGGTACTGTAACACCAATACCAGCACTTTTCATTAAAACGCTGATACTGTAACACCAATACTAGCGCTTTTCCTTAAAGCGCTGGTACTGTAACACCTACACCAGCGCTTCAGAAGTGCTTGTATTGTATCACCTATGCCAACGCTCTTCCCAAGAGCGCTGGTAAAAGACTAATCTGTTGTAGTGCCAATTTACCAAAACAGAACCTTGAAACTCATTTTTGCAAATTCCCAGCAAGGGAGCATGCTCTGCCCACAATAGAGCCACCTCTATTTGAATAGAGATGCCTCCACTTCCAATGGAGCTGTCTCCACTTGGAGTGGAGCCGCTTCTACTCTAAGTGGAGCCGCCTTTACTCTTGCCACCCTCCATCTTCTTCATCTCCGGCATCCTCTGATCATTCCGAACATCTTTTTTAAGATTCCTAACCTTCTGTTCTAAGTCCCAGATGATCTCAATAAATTTATAAAGTTCATGCACATCCTAAACACGAATTAAAACTAAGTTTTATACAATAAATTTCAAGATCAACAAAGAATACGTATAAACCCATATAAACATATATATTGTGTTTTAATTCAGTTTAAGCATGCATATAAGGCTAATTTATTATTTGATTAACCCCTGAAATTAACTAGGCATGTATAGAACACATACCAAAGGGAAAGAGATAGAAGTAAAACTTGCCTTAAGGGTTTTGAATTAAAACCCAACTCTTCTTTCTCTGGTAAGTCCCTCAACGCTGGCAGCCTCTAGTTGCCGTCGTCCTCCTCTGCTGAACTGGATAACAACTATGAACAGCCTCTATCCTTTCATCCTCAGGTTTGGCCTTCCTCCTTTGGTCACACCTCTCTTTTCTCCCCTCCGTTCCTTTTCTTTCTCTCTCTCTGTTACCTCTCCTTCTCTATATATTAAATTTCATGTAATATAAAATATAGCATCCCACAGGCCTATACTATTGTATTTATACACAACATATAACCCTAATCCTAATTTAATCCTAAGTCTGCCTTAAGGAAAAATAAAATTAAATAATACAACTAATACAGTAATAATAAGACTACCATATAATATCACGTAGCTACATATACGTATAACCATTTATAAATATAAATATAATTATATATATATATATATATATATATATATAACTATATATAACTGAATCCTTATTATTATTATTAATAAAATAATAGTAATAATAATGATAATCTCTCTCTATATATATATGCATATATATATATATATATATTAATATACTAATACCCATGGGTTATAATCCTTACCCATTTAGGTCCATCCAAGTAGTCCATGTGACCCATTTATTTGGTCCATTACTACTATTCAAATCCACGTCTTTTAATTTAAATAAAATTAAATAAACAATATAACCAATTAAAACATTTTACTACCACATAATTACAAACCAATACACAATTAAGTCACATAGATCACATCACGCATGATGAGCGCTGAAAAGTGCGTATTTAAACTCCTTAAGCTTGAGTATTCTAGGACCTTTATCTATCTTATTTTTTCATTTTAGACCAATTTCATGTTATTTCCTTTTTTAGGTCAATAATGTTAAAACGGGCTGAAAATGGTTTCTTAAGGCCTTTTTGGAGTTACACTAAGTCTTAGTGAGAATCTTGAGCAAAAGGAGGCTGATCTGGAGCAAAAAGGAAGCTGATGCTGAAAACTGCCAAGTGAGATCGATCGGAGAAAAGTGAGATCGATCGAAGTCTAATCGATCGAAGAAAAGTCTGATCGATCGAACCAACTATGATCGATCAAAGAAAAGTTGGATCGATCGAAAATGTGCTGGTAGCGAGCTATCTTATTTTCGCACGTCCGAACTCCACCTACCACATAGTTGCGGGATTAGATATTTTTGGGCTGTATTTCTGACTTAGTGACTAAGAAAAGGATCTTGTATTTAAAGAGAATTGAACCATTTTGTAAAGGGAGCTTTTTATCATTTTATTTTTATATTGTAATTTTTATTTTCTCTCTCTAGAAAAGTTAGAGATTAGGGTTAGAAAAAAAGAGAAGAGTGGAGGCACCAATAACACATCTTTAGATCTACACACACACTCTCTCTCTATAATTCAACAAAAAAGAAAAGGAAGAAGACGGAGCCATGTTTGGGGTTTGCCCTTGAGGGTTCCAAGATCACACCCACCTCCTCTATGATTGGCTAGACTTCTCCTTGGGGCTTGGATGAGCTCCAAGTTTGTAATCTAAACCTCTATCTCTTTCATACTTTTGGGGAATAATATCTTGTGATAGTGTTATAGCCTTGTGAATTTAATGAATCTTGGTATATTTATATGATTTCTATGATTTAATTCTTCCTATTAATTCTCTAGTTTATTTACATGTCTATATGTGATTAAATTGGGAATTATATCTCACATGATTCATATGGTTTAATCTTTCTATTGATTCTCGTTGTGATTACATGTTGTCTTACGTGTAATTATTTGGGAATTGATCTCTACACTAGTTTCTCTATGTTGGTTATATGTCTATGTGTGATTGATTGGGAATCTAGTGATGGCTAGACATAGTTTTTATTAGATGGGTTTGTCAATTAATTTGATGGATTATATTTATGCTTGATGGGTTGTTCTATAATTTAATTCATGTTTATAGGTAGGTAGACAATCTATACTTGATTTGATTTTCCATGGTTTATTATTGCAAATTCCATGATTCTCTAGATTGATGTGTGCTACAATTGTGACTAGTTTAATGGGTCATGCTTAGAATTGATGGGTTGTTCTACACTTAGTTTATTTATTGGTTAGGTAGACAATACATTATTGAATTTGATGGTCCATGCTTAATATTACAATTGGTAGTCACATCTAGATTACAAGAATGTTTTCCCTAATTAGTTGAAAGTGTGTGGTTTGGTGAACGAGCTTGGTGGCGATTCCAATGCACCCCAAGACCTCACTTCTCATATCTTAAATCCCTAACTCAACTTAGTCTATTTTAATTGCATTTTAATTAATTGAATTTGAGTTTAATTCAAACAATTAATCTCTTCTTTGCAATCTTGTGATTTACTAGAGTCGAAGTTAAATTCCAACACGTATAATCTCTTGGGGCGATCCCTACTCACTCTTGCTACGTTAGTAGTACTGGTGGTAATGGTTTTTATAAATTTAAACTTGACCTAAAAAACTTTTCTTGAACCGCACATTCACTACATTATTTTGGCGTATACAAGTGGTCTGGTCAACACAAATACAAGCAATTCAATTCATACCAACAATTAAAAATAATAACACATAGACAAATAGGCAATTAATTAAGTAACACTTTAATCAATTAAACACCTAAGTAATTAGCCAAATAATCAATTAAACAATAAAAAATGTAATTAAAATAAATAAATAAATACTAAGACTATCTTTTTAAAATTAGGGGTATTACATTCTTCCCCCCTAACAAAAGGAATTCCGTCCTCGAAATTCGCCCTTACTTTCTTCCATTATTTCTGGAAACTGTGAGCGAATGAGATCCTCCTGTTCCCACGTAAACTCAACCACCTTATGATGACTCCACTTAACTCCAATGTATCAAATAGTAGACATGGTTCCTATATTTAAGAAACACAATAACCATACTACAAATTGGTTATATTTAACAACAACTCAATCTTACCCAATATCTATTCAAGGGTAACGATCCATATCCTCTAAGTGCCATAGAATATTATGCAAAAAACTCCTATGCACCTAGCGCTAACAATATGGGAATGCGAATCGATAGGCTACTGCCTCAGTTGATAAACACAATCCTCGAAAAGTCAAATTAAATAAAAAAAACTGACCTTCCTCTAAAAATTGCCATGCTTCCTATATGGAAGACATCACGAGCAATCTACTTCCTGATAGAAAATCTTAAATACGAGTTCGACTATTTTCAAAATCCTACTGCTACCTCCAAATTGCACACAGACCATTACAAAGGAGAGTATTTCTCTCCGTCGTATCATTAAATAAAGTCAAGGTCTAATTGTACAGCCCTTGCTTCTATTTTCAAACCAACAAATGAGAGGTTTGCACTATGTAATATACAAAATCTCAAAAGTTGTCACACTAACCTCTTTGTGCCAACATTATCACAGACAAGATTCTGAAAAGCGAAGTAAATATTGCCAATTATCCATGAAAACCTTGGATATATGCCCCAAGCATATCCTCCATGATCAAATTTAAATTTCTTGATCAAATCCTTCGTCTAAAGATATGAAGCATAGTTATTGCTCCAACATCTTCAGGAAGTTCCTTCGATATAGCACTTTTTATCTACTATAATGGATAACCACATGCTATAACTCCATTATCAGTGCAATGTAGAATTGATATGAAGCTCTAAAGTGAACACTACTAGAATTAATGTCCACAAACGAACTTGCTCAATCCACCACTCTTAATCCATTTGGAATTAAAATTCCAATCACTGTCGATAATTTCTACCAACCATCCACTCCTGATTAGTAATACTCCTATTTTGATATAAGAAGTGGCAAAAATCTCCAGTGAGATCCAGTTATCAATCTTCCACCTTTCTAACAGGTATTCCACTGAAAGACAGTTATGTACTCGTCCCTATCCGTACCTGTTCCTCAAAATCGACATTGGATGTCTTGATGTAGCATAAAACTTTCTGAGTGCTCCATAAAAAATTTACGAATATGACATCTCAGTCACTTCGACATCATTCACAGAACCTACTAATCCTCCTCCAATAACTTAAGCTCTATCTGAGTAAGGTAACACATCCTTCAGGGTCAGCTCCGATATTCTAAGTTGACTTCTTTAATTACCTTGGTAATAGCAATTGTCGTTATTACACATGCTATAAATTCAATAGATAACTCAATAACTAACCGAAAGATTTAATACCATATCGGTTGTTGAGAGCATCCACTTCCATATTTGCTTCCATCAGACGGAACTGGATGCAAAGCGTGAATCACCACTTCTATCCATCTAAGCCGTTTCAT